TCGACGTGGAGAAGCAGCGGCTCTACTCTGAGTCTCTCCCGGATGATCAAGCTTCTCACCCTATCTCTAAGGGAGAGCCCAGACACCCTGTGGAGAAAACTCATTTTGGCCGCTTGTATCCAAGATCTCGTTCTTTCAGTCACAACCCAAAGCTCGTGAACATATATGAGGGTAGGAACGTAGATCGATCAGTAAATTGAGAGCTTTGCGTTTTGACTCAGCTCTCTCTTCACCATGACAGACCTGTACAATGCCAGCCTCACTGCAGATGCTGCACCTATCTGCCTATCGATCTCACGTTCCATTTTTCCCTCATTCGTGAACAAGACCCCAAGATACTTGAACTCCTCCACTTGTGGCAGGACCTCCTCCCTGACCCGGAGAGGGCACTCTACCCTTTTCCGGCTCAAGACCATAGCCTCAAATTTGGAGGAACTGATCTTCATCCCGGCCGTGTCTCACTCGGCTGCGAACCGTTCCAGCGAAAGCTGTAGATCACGATCTGATTAAGCCAACAGGACCACATCCTCTGCAAAAAGCAGAGAAGCAATCCTAAGGCCACCGAAACGGATCCCTTCAACACCTTGGCTGTGCCTAGAAATTCTGTCCATAAAAGTTATGAACAGGATCGTGACAAAGGGCAACCTTGGCGGAGTCCAATTCTAACTGGGAACAAGCCCGATTTACTGCCGGCAATGCGGACCAGGCTCTGACATCAGTCATACAGGGACCTAACAGCCCATATCAACGGGCCTGGTACCCCATACTCCCAGAGTACCCCCACAGGTTTCCCCGAGAGACGAAACCAACCAAACTTCTACAAATCAAATCCCTCCTACAAGTCAATCCTCAGCTAATCACACTTTCTCTTTTTCTCTATTCTCAGTCAGTGAGGTTAATTAACTGTTAAAAGCTCTTGATCCTAAAAAATCTGCAGTACCAGATGAACTTCCACCTTATTTCCTAAGGCTGACTGCTCATATCATCACAGTCCCTGTGACCCACATCTTCAATCTCTCCATAAGACAAAACTCCATTCCAGATGCTTGGAAAACAGCCTTTGTTCTTCCTTTGCTGAAGGGAGATGACCCCACCTAACTGAACAACTATCGACCAATCTCTACACTCTGCATTTTCGCCAAGGTTCTAGAAAAACTGATAAACTCTCAAATCAAAAATTACCTGGACTCATTTAACATCTGACCTCGCCTTCAATCTGGTTTCAGGAAACAACACAGCACAACCACTGCTTCACTGAAGGTTCTTAATGACATTGTTGTAGCACTGGATGCTAAGGATTATTGTGCTGCACTTTTCTTAGACCTGTCTAAAGCTTTTGACACTATGGATCATAACATCTTGTGTCATAAGCTCTCAGAAATTGGTTTCTCAGAACATAACATTGGTTGGTTCTCTAACTATCTCTCAGACTGGAGGCAATGTGTTCAACATAATAGTACTTCCTCCAGTTATTTAACAGTCAACAATGGTGTTCCACAAGGCTCGGTCTTAGGACCCACCTTCTTTACAATCTACATATGTAATGTAGGTAAAAACATCCCTGACACATCCATACATTTCTATGCTGATGATACAGTTGTTTATTGTGGAGTTAAAACAGTTGATAAGGCTTTACAGCTTTTGAAATCTGCATTTAACATCATCCAGACAGATTTGTTCCACCTCAAACTTATCCTAAATGTCGACAAAACCAAAGGGATGCTTTTTTCAAATAGGAAGTCGGTCCCAGCAGTTCTTCCTCTGATTTCAGCCTCAAATGGTGTCCCCATTGAGTTTGTTGATTCCTATAAATATTTGGGTATTTTGGTCGACTCATCTCTCTTTTAAGCTTCATGTGGAAAACTTGGTAAAGAAACTGAAAGTTAAACTGGGTTTCTTTTTCAGAAACAGATCCTGTCTAACTCTGAATGCAAGGAAACGCCTTGTAACTGTGACCTTCCTTCCCTCTATTGATTATGATGACATTATTTACATGAACGCTCCTACAAGAACCCTGCAGATGTTGGTTGCTGTCTATCATGGTGCACTAAGATTCATAACTGGCTGTGATTATCATACCCACCACTGCACCCTGTATTCACTGGTTAACTGGACATCATTAACTTCACGCAGACTCTCTCACTGGTACATTTTCATCTTTAAATCAATTCTTGGTCTGCTGCCTTCATACATCTCCTCCTACATGTCTCTGCATGAGTGCAGCTACAGCGTGCACTCTCAGGACATCATTACCTGCAGTGTTCCCTCAGTGCGGACTGAACTAGGCAAAAGGGCCTTCTCCTATTCCGCTCCTGTTTCCTGGAATATCTTACAAAAAGATCTGAAGCTCTCGACCTTGACCTCTCTAAGTGGATTTAAGAACCTGTTGGACTCCTGGCCGGGACCAATGCAGACATGTTCCTGTTTTTAGTTTTCTACATTTGCCTTAGAATCTAGCTGTTTTTGTTACTTTTCTTTTTTAAGGCATCCTATTTGTTAAAAAATAAAAAAAATAAAAAAAATCTGTATGACTTTTTCTAACTGTTTATTGTTGTCGCTGTTGTCCATTGTTGTCATCATTCTTTGTTGAAATCAGGTCTCTCTTGTAAATGAGTCCTTGAGGCTCAATGGGATTTACCTGTCTAAATAAAGGTTGAATGAAAAACCCATCAACAATAACAACTAGGACTCTCACCAGTATGCATACCGTGAGAACCGATCAACAGGGGATGCCATCTCCTCTGTGGTCCAACCTGCTCTCACCCACCTGGAGCAGAAGGACTACTACATCTGTATGCTCTTTGTGGACTTCACATCTGCCTTCAGTACCATGATCCCCCAAACCCTGATGGACAAACTACTCACACCAGGACTAAGCTCCTCCATTTGCAACTGGGTCCTAGACTTCTTAACAAACAGACCATAGTCAGTGAGGATCCACAACTTTATTGGGATTATAATGAAATTATGACCCGGTTCTGACTGAGCAAAACCATAGGACCAGTCTAGATAAGAAATATCCAACATTCTCTTCCTCTACCATAACCCTCAACACTGGCTCCACTCAGGGATGTGTGCTGAGCCCTGTCCTGTTCACTCTGCTCATGTATGACAGTGCACCTAACCATTCAGGCTGTCATATTGTAAAGTTTGCAGATGATACAGCAGTAGTGGGATACATCACAAACAACAATGAGTATAACTAAAGGCAGGAGAAGGAACACCTCGAGAGTTGGTGAAAAGAGAATAACCTTCACATCAATGTGAAGAGGATGAAGGAGATGGTTGTGGACTTCAGAAGGAACAAACTCACCTACCCCACCTGAAAATAGGATCTGGGGCAGAAGTGGTCTCCAGCTACAAGTGCTTGGGTGTGCGCCTGAATGACAACCTCAGCTGGGGCAACAACAATACCAGCCTGATCAAGAAAGCTCATCAAAGACTTTTACTTCCTCAGGCGGCTGAGGTTAGCTGGTCTGGGAAGCTCAGTCCTCACCTCCTTCTACAGGTGTGCAGTGGAGAGCATCCTGTGCTCCAGCATCAACATGTAGCATGGAGGCTGCACAGCTGCAGAAATAAAAGCTTTGCAGAGTGGTGAAGGCTGCACAGAAGTCTGTTGGAGTCAGCCTCCCTACCCTCACAAACATTTGCACCTCTAGATTCAGGAAGAGGGCCACCAGCATCATGAAGGACCCCACTCACCCAGCACACACACTTTTTGCCCTGTTCCCCTCAGGAAGAAGGTTAAGGAGCATTAAGTGTAGAACCACTAGACTGAGGAACAGCTTCTACCCTGAGACTTTTAAATGGTAATGGTAAATGGACTGTACTTATATAGCGCCTTTCTATCTTATCAAGATACTCAAAGTGCTTTGCAACACAACCTGTGCCCTCATTTACCATTCTTACAGCACTCTACTAGATCTGTACAAAGCTAATCGAACAAATAGATCTAAAGAGACTAATCAGTGATTTATCACATTCATACACCGATGGTCACACATCAGAGGCATTGAGGGGTTCAGTGTCTTGCCCAGGGAAACTTCGGCATGTGACTGCTGGTGGATTCGAACTCCCAACTCTTGCATTGGAGGACGACTGCTCTAACCACTCAGCCACAGCCAGACTCATGAATCTCTAAACAGGATAATCACTGTGAATAATCACATCATGTTGATGCTGATCTGTTTCATGTTGCTGTGTTCATGTGTGCTCATCTGCTCACACAGACTCCATGTTCATGCTGCTGTTCGGCATATTGTTTTAATTTTTTTATGCTATTAGTGCTTAGAAAAACATCAACTAAAAATACGCTTGGTTCATATTTTAGATCTTATTAATGTTTGTCTTTTACATTTTATTGTTGGATGAAACTGGGACCCTGTGTACATAATTTCATTCCACCATATGTACCACATGTGGTGCGAATGACAAAGAAACTCTGACTCTGAAACTTGGACAGAGGACACTGGTAACTGAGCAGAGGTTACTGGGGTATAGGTTACTATGACAAAGGTCATTGGGAACTTGAGCAGAAGTCAATGGGGCTTGGAAAGAGGTCACTGGTAACTGAGCAGAGGTGACTAGGAAAGAGATCACTGGCACTTGGACAGAGGTCACTGGGGAAGATGTCTATGGAGGTAGAGGTCACTGGGACTGGGGCAAAGGTCACAGGGCCTAAGGACTCTGGGACAGGAGCTGAGGTCAATGGGGTAAAAATCACTAGGGCTAAGATCATTGGTGATGGCGCGAGGATCACTGGGTTAGATTGGAGATGCATAAATTGTTACCTCCTGCAAAGGTTCAGACTCATCTTCATCATCTCTGTAGGTTGATGAGTGAGTACAGTTGGTTGAGTGCCTGGATGTGAGGCGGGGTAAAGTTGTAGGAGGGGAGTTTTCCTCAAATCCCCAGCTTCCTTCATCCTGCGAGCTGTCAGCCTCTTTGTTGTCATGGTAACACTTGGGTGTAAAATTGCTGCTAGCATCAGTATTAGCTAGCTGATTGCTAACACTAACTGTAAAGTTAACATTGATGCTACCCTGGCTAGCATCAATAATGTGTCTGACTGCTGAGTCCACTGCTTCATGAACTTCTGTCTGTGCCAACACACTGATAACATCTTCACTGGTCTCATTAGCCTCTTTATCACTGTCAGTGCTTGCTTGATTACTAGGCTTATTACTGACATCTTCCTCCATATCATCATTATCATTATAATCAGCAGCAGCTCTGACATTGTGTTTATCTACTGGCTCATAAACCATGTTATATTTTGAAGCACTTGCCCATTGCTCTATGACATCAGCATGAGGCTTCATGGCAACTCCTGATGGAGGAGGCAGGGAGTTAATGGGGGGCGGGCCCACAAGACTTGTTGCTACCTTGGGCTTATCCGTCATTAGCTGATCTTGGTGACATGACTCTGTTAGCAGGAAGACTGGTTGCACTTTCTCTGAAGTCTGAAAAGAAAGCAAAAAGAAAAAGCATGAACAAATGGGAGGGGGTGTGAGTTTCATTATTGTCAGACTGTAACAAGTATAGCCAGTTTTTCCCATCACTGTAATTCAGGCTGCAACAAAACCTTAAATCATGTTCAGTTCCTGTTAGGCTGTAATGTTTCCTGTTACTCTGTATTGTATTGTGACCAATATTCATAACATTTTGTTTACATTTGAGCTGGTGTGTTTGCATTCACACTGCACTGTGCAGTCGAGCCAACCTGTTGAACCAACCTATTCCCCCGCTCGCCTGTGGGGGCGTTGCACCAAGAACTACTGAAAGAAACAACACAAAAACCTCTGAAGACACTTCTTCTTCTTATGGAAATAAAAACAAAAATGGAGTGGCATCAAGTTTTAGCAGTTTTAGGAGTTATATTTTGTCATTTTTCAAAAATGGACTCAGCATGAGCAGATGAGGCAGAAGACCATGGAGAATATCGTTTTTCACACAAGGCAGCTGATGGCTCCATATAAGGTCAGAGAAATGTGTGTTTGTTTGCCCTGCATTGTACTCCACTTCTTGCTTGTGGAGCGGGACCCGGTCTGTTTACATTCACACTGTACTCGAACCGCGCTGGAGTTCTCTTCTACCGGACCGAGACCTAGGTTTTAGCCCGGGCCAGAGTTCGCCTTTTTGTTCCGTGACAGAGTTCGATGGCGCGTTCACACCTTCCCAAACGAACCGGACTTTCTAGGAAAACGAGCTAGAGTTCGATTAAAGCGAACTAAACAGGGCTGGTGCGAATGCACTCTTAAACAGCGTGGAACTACAAAGGCTAGCTCCCGTTAGCGGTCCTCCGGCAGACCCCGAGCAGCTGGGACCCCAGGCTGGCTGGGTGACGGTCCGGAACAAGCTTAGTGCTAAGGCTAAGCCCCCAGTTCACTACTGACCCGTTCACATTTCTAATCGATTTTCCTCGCTCAGTGACACACCTGCTGAGAAGCAGACCCTGGTTACTGGCAGCTCCATAGTCCGAAACGTGGCTTTAGGGACTCCAGCAGCCATAGTTAAATGCATTCCGGGGGCCAGAGCGGGCAACACAGAAACTTATCTGAAACTGCTGACTAAGGCTAAGGCTAAATACAGTAAGACTGGGGCAAAGGTCACAGGGCTTAAGGCAGTAATGACACCCGGTTATGTCAATCGGAGGTCGCTAAAATTAATTTTGCTTCGTGTGTAACTTTGCTAAAACCATGTCAGACTCCATAGTTTTCTCTGGCCCCCTCCCCAACCTGACCAGCGATGACATGTTTAGCCGTATGTCGTTTAACCGCTGGGTGTCCAGGTGGTGTTCTGACAACTTCCGGGAAGATGGTGCCGCTGTGCATGGCCTGCCCTCCACCTCTGTCTGCAGTGATTGTGTATTTTCTGTTTTTGTCATTTTTCACCTACAACATCGACTCACTGCTGGTTTATGAACGTCATCAACTCCTAAACCTCTGACTATCTGCCACCAGTCTCGCTTTGTTTAATCATAATGATCGTAATGCTGCTTTCCAAGATGGCGCCGGTGTGTAGGGCTGCCCGTCTCTCGCTCTCTGCTTGTATTGTATTTTTGTTATTTTTACAATGGTTGGTGCAGTGTGCCGAGTCATATTTTCAGTATGATCGTCGGGCACTTTTGGAGCTCCGTACATTTGCTGAAACGCCTGCGGAGTTTTTGTACAGCGGTCAGCACTCTCCTCCACCGGTCCTGTCTGAGATTCCTGCATTCCTTCTGCGTGACTCTGGCCTTTCTCCATGGAGGAAACGTCGCAGACGTCGTGGGAAGCGTGCAGGGATTTTGGTGAAACTGAGGCAAAGTGTGGATTATTCTATCAGGACTCGCTCTGGATCTGATCTTCTCCTCTGACCCGTGGTACTCCCGGGGCCTGGCTGCTGGCCAGCTGCCTGCGCGCTCAGTCCATGTAAACACCTGGAGTTGTTTACCTGTGCGCCGCACCAGCAGACCTGGAGGAGCTGTTAGGGTTAGGGTCACCAACAAGCTGTTCCTCAGTCTAGTGGTTCTACACTTAATGCTCCTTAACCTCCTTCCTGAGGGGAGTGGGGCAAAAAGTGTGTGTGCTGGGTGAGTGGGGTCCTTCATGATGCAGGTGGCCCTCTTCCTGCATCTGGACGTGTAGATGTCTGTGATGGTGGGGAGGCTGATTCCAACAGATTTCTGTGCAGCCTTCACCACTCTCTGCAAAGCTTTTCTTTCTGCAGCTGTGCAGCCTCCATGCCACACGTTGATGCTGGAGCACAGGATGCTCTCCACTGCACACCTGTAGAAGGAGGTGAGGACTGAGCTTCCCAGACCAGCTCGCCTCAGCCGTCTGAGGAAGTAGAGTCTCTGATGAGCTTTCTTGATCAG